AGTGTCTCAGGATAGCTGTGAGGAGGATTCCCTTTCCACCCCCAGACATTTAAATTCATCAAATACATGTATTTCTTTTCTCACATAGATTCTTAATCCAGCATAGAAGGAATATGTAAGTCTAGCCCTTTTGTTCTAAAGCTCAGTATTACATTAGTTAAAATATTTTAAAAGTTATTGTACATGGAAAGGGGAAGTTTTTTTCCAATTATTAGAAATGAGAGACTCTTACCTGCTTCAGAACATTTCATGAAGGGATCTGGCTAGCACTTCTGCTTTGGAATTTCACACTTAACAGCTTTTGAATTTTGGAAACACAGCTCCTGCCCCCACCCCATTTTTTAACCAATATATTTATACTCTTAATGAGGTGGGATGTTCCATTTTGTGGAAGGGATCATTCCCTTCTCTACAAAGCAATGTTCTTTGTAGATTTCATTTGCTGAAAAATAAAAAAAGTAAGGCTATTCGATCTATGTATATATATATAAATATATATATTATATATATCTGTCTTATGATGGACTTTGATTTCCCCCTGTTTGTCTCCACTTGTGTAGCTAGTTACTGGGTTAAATACTGCAGTTCATATTTACTGTTAGGTTTTTTGTTTTGGATTGGTTTTTGGTTGGTTTTGATTGGTTGGTATTTTTTAACAGATCTTTCTAGATACTCTTCCTTTGTTCCATGGTAAAATACATGAAATGTAAAGCTGAATTTTTAGTCTTTCTATTTTAGGCAAAAAGTGTGGAGTTAAAGATGAGGGAAACACAGCTCCTTTTAAAATTAATAGATGAAACAAGTGGAAACTTGGTCATGTACCTAAAATTTTACATTTTCAATAATCTCAGAAAATAAAGTAGAAAAGCGTAAGTTTCATCTCATCCCTAAAGAATTAATAAGAATTATAAGAATTATTTATCAGCCAGGGCTGATAATATAGTATTTGCAGAAGTTGTCATGTCTGGATTTTCTCCTGCTGAAGCAGTAGTAAAAAGCAAGTATTAAGTTGGACAGCACCCCAAATCTTGACTAGGTCTGCAAGCCTGCTTTGCTGAGAAGGTGATCCTGTCCATTTAAATTATTTTTGTCCTTACTAGCTACTTCTTGACCAGAGTTTTGTATCAGCTCTAGTTATGAAGCATTGGTCTGCGTCAGCATATTATCTGTTACTAGTTTATTTATGAGTACTCATTGCAAAACAAAACATTTCTGATATACTCACCAGGGATAATAGCATCCTCTACTGAATTCTGAGATTCATTCGAAGAGAATGGTCTAAATTTTATTCTTACATGTGAAATTACCAAAAGATATATTCTTTTTCCAGCACCAGACATGCAGTTCTCTTTTTAGCTTGATTGATCTTGTGACTGTTCTTAGAGGTGATTTCTCTTATCTCTTGTTCTGGTCTGACTTGGACATCCCATTTTAAATGCGGGACTTGTATATTATCGGTATCTTTGATATGAGTAATACTTTCTTATGTTAGGCAAATTTTTATATCTTTATTTCATTTGGAACCAGGAAATGACATTTCATTTTTTAAAATTAGAAGCTCTTTTCTTAAAAAAAAAAAATAAATGGTGGTTTGTAGCAGATCTTAGATTTCAGTTTTCTGCCTAAATACAGTTATGTATTGACAAGGACACAAAGTGCCACCAACATGAACACAGAGTAACAAAAGGCAAATTGTTCCATTATGGATGTTGGTGTACAAGAAAAAGAGGATATCTAAAGAGCGAGGCTGGTTGCTTTGAACAGAGCTCTGAGGGTAGTGTCCATTACCATCTGGAACTGCAGAAGAAAATGCTTCCATGAAAGTGGCCTTCTATAGAACTTGAGGAAGGGTGCTTGTTTTCCTAGAAAACAGATTTAGTTCTACAAGATGGATAACAGTTAATTTATTAATTATTTAAACTAGGTAGTACTTGAAATTATGAGTTGGGATGGCATTGTTTGTTTCTGAAAATCAGCAGATCTGTACCGTGGCTCTACAGTTGGTTCCTGACAAAAGAGGTTGTTCGACGCAAACATGCCTGTATCCATAGCCTTTCAGTAAGGTATGAAGCTTACTACAAAGTTTATTCCATGAGAAACAATAATGCAACACTGAAATGTTATTTTGATTAAAAGATATTTTCACTGTTATGTTTGTTTTCCTGGATATTTCAGCTATATTAATTTGTCTGCTCATTTGCTGCCTTGAAATCCTGTATAGCATAAGAGGATGAACGAAGCCCTAGGAATTTGGCTGCTCCTGTAGAAGTAATGATAACTTACACAGCAGTATCCCTGCTGTCAGTATCAGCAGTTGTGATCATGCTGTTTTATAATGCAAATGCATGTTCATGACTTCTGTCCCTGCTCCAAGTACACTTTTTCAGCGCTCTCTGAAAACATGTTTCAGGTTTCTGTCAGTGACATCTTGTAATAGATGTTCCAGTTGTGTTTTGAGGAGCTATTTTATTTTGCCAGGAAGTTGTGGCAATGGAATTGTGGCAAGGAAATGCTGGGTGACAGATAAGTGGTTTTGGTGTTTAAGAGAGGAACTGTGTTAACCAGAAAAGAACATGGGAGCAGCCATGTGATGATTAAATCCTCTTTTCCTGGGAAAGGGGAAAGATATTCTGGTAATAAGGCTTGAAATTCTTTGACTGATATTAGAGAAATAATTCTGTTTGTCACAGTTGTTGTGGTTTTGTACTGCAATCCAGTATATATCCAACTTGTTCAGTTGGGCTGATTTATTTTTTTTTTTTCTTTTTAGTGTTCATGGTAGGTCCTAAATGACCTGAACAGTTGAAAACATAGGAGTGTCGGACGAAGCTGAAGTAGAAGGGCAAAATCCAAGGACACCAAGGGAACAAATAGAATGGACAAGAGTCAGGAGTGAGAAGAGAGGGATAAAGGTCTTGATTCTTTTTGATATGTCAGTGGGTATAATAGGATAATGGTACAATAGGTATAGTAATCATGCTGGGAATAGCCTAAAAATGCAAAAATTGGTATGTCAGTGGAAGAGAACTTGAACCAGAAATCCATTTAAATGCTATCTTGTTTTGTTTTGGGGTTTTCCACATCTTTTCTCTAAATTCAGTTCTACCATTATGACCATGTAAATCTGCCAGATCATAATAGTTACGTGGAGAGCCATTAGGGGGCCATATGTACCCACCTTATTTATAGCCTGCAAGGTTGTTTTAAATAAATCAATTTGAAATACCTTAGCTTTGCGTATGCATATAGCCTGTGTAAGTATATAATCTTAATTTTTTTCCTTTGTTCACCTTCTAATGATTGCATACGCATGTTTAAAGTTGCCATAATTGGATGGTGCGCCTTTTAGGGAGGCATTGTGTTACATAACTCTTGGCCTTTGTGTCCAATGATGTATATTTAAGCATATTTAAATTCTTGATTACATTGTAATTCTTTTTTCTGTAATCCATTATTTTCATAAGTCTGTATACTAGTTTATTTTACTATAATTTTCTTACAGTTTTAGTATTGGGTCAACACATACTCAGACTGAACATTCTCATGTGTAATATACCAGAGATCAAGGCTCAGCTTACTGCTCTCACACAGATGTTGTGCTGGACAGAAAAGCCCAAAATACAATATTATGGCAAAGATACTCTAAGTGCAAATATGGGTAATAATAAACTCTTCATACAGCAGTACATTAATCTAGTCACTTTTTTCCTAATACTTCAACTGGTTGGTTTAGAGGTAACACTTCATATTCTGCTGCAGACATACTGTCTGTTTAAACCTGAACAAACCATTTAGTCATTCTGTGCCTCAGTTTTACCTCTTGCAAATGGGAGTAATGCTTCCTTATCTTAGATTAGTTATTTCTGAGGCATAGAAATTGCAAGGAGAAGGACCATTTGAGTATAGAGAGAACATTTACATTTAATGTAAATATGACGTGATATGGGTGTTAAATTCACATGCAAGAAATCTGACAGAAGAGTAAGACTTTAGGCATTGCTGAATCTTTGCACTACCTATGTTCAAAGATGTACTAGCCTTAGTAGGTAAGTTCATGAAATGAAAAATGTTAATTATTCATAATGCTTTGCTGTACCATAAAACTCGATTTATTGAGACTATAATTTGTTCAAGTTGCATGTAGTAGGAAAATATATCAGGAGTAATTAATTGTATTCAGGATGTGATGAGGTATATATATCCACAGAGAACAATTGAAAACAGTAGTGATGTGGTATTGATTGCCTTTCAGAGAAAAAAAAAAAAATCTTGTCCCATTTCTAAATGTTAACAATTCAGAGAGAAAAATTCCCACTTGGGAAGAATGCTTTCCAGGTTGCTTCATTGCCAGGTGTTTGACATTGAGTGGAGCCTTAGATGAATGAAGCTTATGGCAGCTTTTGGAAATGACCGACTCCAGGGAATGTTGGCTTCCTGCTGTGAAAGTTTCTATTTTCAAAGCACATCAGTTTCAGTGGGAATGTTCCAGTGGTCCCATATGCTACTTCTGACAGAGGGGGAAGTTTTTAACCTGAATATGAGACAGCTACTGAAGAGCTTCCCTTGCTGCTAACAAAATGAATTTCAATATGTTGCCAATGAACAAGCAGCATGTTCCCAACTGCTGATGGAATTTATCTCCATCAATTATTAATGAAAATTTTGATTTGTTTTCCTTTCTGCCTGTTACCTTTTAGCTTTTCTACCTGCTCCTGTTAGAACTTTGTGGGTTCTGAAGCTGAAAAAGGAATCGCCCAAACAATATGCTTGTTTGCTTTAAAACTGTTGCTGTATTTTCCTCCCCTCCCTCATACGCTCTCTCCTTGACCTAGCAGCAGGAAGCCTTTGTCTGAGGTGTTCATCTGGAACAACTTTTCCACACTTGTTTTCATGTTCTGTTAGATTACAGGGCAGCAGGCCTACCTTTGAAGCTCCCTTCTCTTTTGTTTCTTTGCAGTGCACTCCAGTAATTAACTTTGTCCTTCTTTTATTTGTTCCAGTCAATCGCAGTCCACTCTGCTGAGCATCTTCTCCCAGGAGTACCAGGTTAGAAGTTTTCTCCTTTGTGAGGGTTGACAGGTGCCTAATTGAATGATGAATGTCCCTTTATTTCTTTGTAATTGAACTGCCAGCTTTCTGATTGGTTTGGAGGATGTTCCTTTTTCCACATCAAGCACCGCCTGAGTCTCAGTGGATGGCTGCCAAGCCTACCCATCCATCTGTCTAATAACATCTAGCCTTTGCTTATTTGGTGGACCTGTAATAAATTATGCTAAACCATTATTATTCTGACAATAATAATTTCCCTGTGTTGCATGGTTCCATGTGCTAAATGTTTGCTGACTTGCACTGTCAGTGCTGCTTTCCATTGCTGACAGAGATGATGATAAATGACCATTGCCGGAGTGGCAGAAGGCAAGAGAGGCAGAAAATGGAGTCATTTATCATGAGATGACAGGTGTCAGTCAAGTGGCAAGTCTCTATGGAATTACTTTTTGTAGTTTTTCAAATAAGTTGTTTTTAAGCAATGTTCTTCCTGGTTAAAAATGCCAATTGAATTGTAAAACTGGAGTGCACCAGACTTAGATGGAATTGAATTGAGGAAAAATTAATACAAAGGTTGAAAGAGAGAACAAGTTTTTCTTTGCCCTCTGCAGCCTTCAATAAACTTATTTAGATTCAATTATTGTGACCTTACTGGCTTTTACATATATGGTACATTGCAGTACAGTCTGAAGACGTTCAATTCAATAGGTAGATTGAATGTAATTTCTGTACAGAATCTAAAAACAGGGTTCAGTTTATATGTCAAAGTGTAGCCAAGGAACATGTGCCTGGACAGTCATGATTTTTGTATTTTGATCTGTGACACATTTGTAAGACTCTTTGTTTTTTTCATTTTTCTAGAAACAAATCAAAAGAACACATGCCAAGCATCACACTGCTGAAGCTGTTGAAACTTACTACCAAAGGTATCACCTTGCCACCCCAGTCAGGAGTATTATCATAACTAGTATTTGTTATGGCAATTATGAGTAAATTAGCTTATTAGCTTATGAAGCTGATTTTCTATAAAAATAAAAAATTTGGAATGAGGATTACAAAACAGTTCCCCTAAAACTGTTTTCAGTGAAAATGCACAAATTTTCCTGTGCTTGATCACTGATTAAGAAAGTGTTTGCTTCTTTGGCTCTAAGTCAGGGTAAGCAAATACGTTTTACAGAGTATATGATAGCATTTATTGTATGTTACCTATAGTTTGTAATTATAAGGCTTCTGTGTCAAGAATAACATTGAGGATAACTTCCTCACAGCTAGGGAGATTGTTCTGTTACAGTTGCTTGTACTTTTAAAAGATTTGTGTTAGGTTACAAAAAGTTACATATTCATGTATTGCCAGTGAAAGAACTAATTTTTAGATCACTCCTGTTTTATCAACAGAAATGTCAGAAATAGCTATTAAGGGAGGATGAAAACCTTTTTGTCACTTTACAATATTTTACAATTGTATGCATCTTAAGCTAATAAATTGTATTTGCTACACCTTATAGTTTGTCTGTTTCTTCTATAGGATTTACTAAAAATAGTGCAGTGACATAATTGGGGCATGCAGATAACTGGTTAAGATACACAATTAAAATATTTCCTTGTAGACTGACGTATCAGCTTGTATGGCAACTGAGTTGACAACTGTGATTATACGTGTCTGATATTTGTGCTTAATATTAATGTGTATGAATCAGGAACATAAACAAAAAGCCTTCATTTGTGAAAATTAACTGTGCTTCCACAGAGCCATATATTTAAAACTAAGCAGAGCTTCATTTTAGTAGATGCTGATTTAGAATATCTAGTGTGAATTGTGCTGTTCTGGGGTTTTGATTTTCTTTTTCTAGTGGCTGTACCGTTCTGTAAAAATATGTACTGGATCATATTGCACTTCTCCTGTGCTGTTTAGGAAGAACATTGGTATGATTAAGTTTGGCTCACATCAGGTAGAAGGATTTGGTCTCCTGTCCCCTTGTGCACTGTCTGAAGTATGATAGTAGTACATAACTAATGCATTATGTATGAAGCTATATGGTGGTGGTAGGGAAGATCATTCTTTATGCCGTTTCTGGGTATTTCACATTGCAAATGTATTAGCATGGCCAAATAAAATGCACGTTTTAAAATCAGAGATGTTCTGGTTAGTAGTTAGAAAACTCATCTCAATCCTGTTTTAGTAGATTTATTGTATAGTATGTTTCATAAGCTACAAGGGCAGACTGCTTGAGTCAGAAGCCAGTTTGAAATGCTTCAAGCATAAACATGGCAAACATGTCTTCTCGACTTCTCTTTTGTGGCATCCATTTTACTGCTCCAGTCTGTGTGTATGCTCTTTCATATTCTCACCAACATAGAAGCAGATTATTGTGCTCCCATTGCTTTCCTGGGTTGGAAACGATCAGTTTTTGCATGTATCCATTTCAGGTGGCCCCCATTGGGAGCAAGTAGAAGTACAGCTGAGTGGAGTAGTTTCTGCTGCTCTGCTGAGACTTGTAAGTCTTAAACTTAGGAAAACACAAAGGCAAATTACAGGAAAGATCAGCAGGCTTTTCAGAATAGTGTTGTCATCAGCCTGTGAGAGCTATTAGGCCATTATGGAGTTGCCAGTCGCATTAGAATTATCTGACAGAAAAATACTCCATTGTTACCTGTAGCTTTGCTATTTAATCAACTGAATGCATGGTTTAGAGCATTAATGTCAAGTAAACCTTCCTGGGTAGGTATTTTGTTTATGATGTCTCCTTTTTTTGTTTCTGTAATAAATTTTTAAAGTTTAAATATATACAAAGTATCTTGCTTTGTGGACTTTTTTTGTGTAGAATTTAAATAGGTTACAGCAAAAAGCTTTTATAATTTCCTTCATTCTTTAATAAGCTTCAGAATACCTTGCAAACAAAAAGCCCTCTAATGCTCTGTGAAGAGGTTTATGTAAAGGTGTTATACCCATTCCATGTAAGGATAAAATTATAAAGAATTTTAATGTCTGTGACTAATGAGCAGAAGAGTGGCTTCTGATGGATAGATAATGACAGAGCTTGAAAGGCGGTGGCCTTCTAATGATGTCAGTAATGATAAGCTATACGAATACAGATAGGATAAATTAACAGATTCAAATACTGGTAACTACTGTTCTTTTCCACATAGCTGCAAAGCACAGTGGCTTGTGATAATACAGCTTCTTCCCACCAACTCCTGAGAACAGGTTTTAGTCACTACTGAAATACACACATCAAACAGTAAAAGTTACAGACAGTGAGGAAGGCAATATTGTTATGAAGCAATGGTCAGAAATACCATGTGAATCCATATCGGTGTAATACCCTTAACCAGAAACATTAAGCCTTTGCCACTGATAGGATAATGACTTTCTATCACCCTTTATTGGATCCTAAATATTTAATTTTTTTTTTTCTTTGGAATATTCATTTGATTGTTAGATTCTGATTTAACTAAAGTAAGCCTTTAGTATTTGAACTACTGCCCAGTTGATAAAATCTGGATTTCACAGAATCATAGAATCGTTAGGGTTGGAAAGGACCTTAAGATCATCTAGTTGATTTGAGAATTTATGTTTTTGTGCATAGAAAGGAATTGAATAAGATAGGTAGTGAGCCATCATAGTTGAAGGTCATGTGGAACCCTAAATCTTTGCTGTGAATAATAAAGTTTTATTTGTCTGTGATGCATCTTTTCCAGAGTTCAAATATCATTTATTTGTATGTCATTAAGCCAATTTTTTAAAAAAAATTCTTCATTTATTGTGTTTCTTACTTAATTGAGATTGATACATCTTGCAGATGAATAGGAGACAACCCTGGAGAGTTAGTGAGTGTTTTAAATATTTTTTTTCTTAAAAAATTTCCAATTAAATACTCTGTACTGGGGCATTTTCCCCCAAATGAAAGAGGCTCACAAGGGATACTGATATGTATAAACTGGTGTTTTCCTGCCACTGCAGAATTACCTGGCTTTATCTTGTCTAGGTACCTGAATGGGGTGATGAAAAATGCAGCTGCCCCTGTATTACTGGAGCTGGCCAATGAGGTAATCATCTTTACTTTTTTCTTTAATCTTCTAGTGTAAAACCTGAGGGGCATATCTATAGTGACTTTAGAGAGAAAGGTAATTAACCTAAAAAAAAAAAAAGGTTCCAAGGCACATTAGACATTTAGAATGGTTCCCCAGTCTGTTAGTACTTACAATAATTAGACAAAAAGCCCCATTTATTAATAAATCAGTTAACATAATTAGTCTTAACTTCAAGGCGAATGCATAAGAAATTCTGAATTTGTATTTTGTTGGAAATTTCAGACAGATCATAGGTCTTTAATGCAGAAACTTACTAAACATTCCCACATTGATTAAATGGAATTTTATCAGTTTTACTTGTATTTGATTTCTTGGGGGGGGGGGGTTAATAACAAAACCCATCAAAGATTTATTTTTTTTAATGATAGGAAGCTTTAAAGAGTTCATTTTCCTGACTGCATTCTCCGTTTATTTCTGTTCATACAGATTAGAGGATGGCTAATGAAAACTGTTTAATATAAAGCAATTAAGCAGAATAAATTCCTTAGTATAGCCATTTCCTAGAAAAGCTGGAATGTAAAAAGTTCTGTACAGTTGTCATTAAAGCCTTGACATATTTATTGATGCTGTTTATTAACTAGAATATTAATCTGTCTTGGGATGCAATGTCTTCTTTGAATTAAAAACTGCTATCTAAAGCACTACCTTAAAGAAGATGTAAAAAGTTTGAAAGAGTGGCAGTGAGCCTCCTAGAAAAATAAAATTGATAAAATATCTACCCCTTAAACTCTAAAATATTTATTTACAATAATAATGACAATACAATAGCTGATAGTCCTTGTAACTGCTTATGCAACTCTCAAAGGAATAGAATGAAATGTATGCTGGTTTGTGTTGCATTTTAATAGAAAATGAAAGAAGGAGGCAGAAAATGAGTGTTTGCATTAAAAATGATATGGCACTACAAACATTAAGTGGTGCAATAGCAGCAAGTTCTACATGTTACATTAGTAAGAAAGAATGGTTTCTCCCTCATGTACATTGCTTCAGCCAGCAAATGTACGATTACCTATCAGTTACTGGAAGCTTTTAATGGTCTGTGAAGTGTCCACATATCCTGATCATACAGTTAGCATAGAATAAAGAATTTATATCATATTAGTGGTAATGCGTAGCTTCTTCCCATTTGTGGAAAAGACAAGTCTTAAACTACTGAGAGTAGAATGTACGTTACATAAATAAGTACAATCTTATTAAGAATTTAGGTAAACAACCCAATTCATGATATATTGCACCCATATTATATAGGAACCATCATAAAAATCTTTCAAGCACAAACAAATATATCTGTTACTGGGTTTTGTATATTTTTCCCATTGATTTATAGATGATGCATATAATTTCTGACTCTAGTGAGCATATCTTTGTTTATATTACGCTAATGTATTTTTGAAATTCAGATCAAAGATATCTGCAGTTCAGAAATAAATAAAAGCTAAATCTAAAAGAAACAGGAGATATACAAAGAACTTACCTGCTTCTGATTTCATAGTAGCAGGT